CATATATATATATATATATATATATATATATATATATATATATATATATGCGAATATATATATATATATATATATATATATATATATATATATATATTATATATATATATATATATATATATATATATGTATATATATATATATATATATATATATATATATTAATATATATATATATATATATATATATATATATATATATATATATATATATATATATAATATATATATATATATATATATATATATATATATATATATATATATATATTTATATATATATATATATATATATATATATATATATATATATATATATATATATATATATATATATATATATATATATATATATATATATATATATATATATATATATATATATATATAATATATATATATATATATATATATATATATATATATATATATATATATATATATATGCTGCTTAATTTTATGAAGCTATTTTTACAAATCAAAAATAAAATTATGCTACAAAGAATATGTAATGTTTAAGGAAACAAAACCCAGAAAATTATTTTACAGAACTTTTGAAAAAACATTGCTAACCATTCGGTTAAATTAAATGTACATCAGTTGAGGATCGGTAAAGTAAAAGCAATGAATATTCCATTAAAATACACCAGAGCAACGCATATATTGACTATTTAGAAGATTAATATTTTATGACACGGTTCAAGGTCAACTTGGGACAAGACAAAACTACGGCCTAAGTATAGACTCTCATGTCGATTCGAAGTTAGATTTTCGATTTTTTCGTGCGTTCCTTTTGTCATTTCGTTTTTGGCTTTAAATTGTAAAACACAGATTGGTCAATTTTTTTGAAAAACGTAATTTGTTGAATCAGAACCAGTTTCGTTTTAGGGCTGGACATTCTATCACTAAAGCCCTATTAAGGGCCTTGGAGGGTGTGGTTGAGGGCTTCGACTCGGTGCTGCACACCATGCGATTTGTCTAAGGCCGTGCTCAATGATTGGGATAATTATATGATTTCTGTCAAATGTTCCCGCTTTGCGGATCACACGACATTTGTTATGTCCAGCAGCAGCATTGAAACTTTATCTGACATTTCAAATGCTGCTTTAGACCTAGCCGAAAGATGGTTCGGTGCCAACAATCTTCTCTTTAATAAGGATAAAACCCAAATTTTGAAAATATCGACTAACTCGAGGTCAGCGGCAGGTAACAATGTTAAGCTGGTGGGTCTCATTATAGATGACAAATTGTCGTGGTCATACTATACAGATGAACTCTGTAAAGACTGCGATCTTACATAAATTTCGACACCTTTAAAACGTATTGTTTTGCACTGTTTCATTCAAAAATAATATACCATTTATAAACTACAAAATAGCGATTAGGGTTATGTGTGGTATGCATTATGGTGCCCATTGCAGACCTTTTTTTTTTTTTCGAGCCACAGGATTATGCCTTTACCTTGCATCTTAATTTATCTTTATCACTCTTATAATTATTACAGCATTCCATGCATATGCGGCAAAGAATCCCATCATCAACAGTTGCGGAACACAGTCATGAAACCGGACATCAACCAAACGAAAATTCCTGCATGTAATCAATTATTTTACTAAAGAGAAATTCGAGAATCAATAGACAAACAACCAATCAATCTTAACCGCAACTCAAGTATTCATCTTTCACCTATATGGGACTCGTTATCCGAAACAATGTTCATGCCCCTCCTTTAACTCCGCCCCCTCTAACAGTATATAAGCAGGTAAAGAGTAGAATGCGAGCCAGTGTCAGTTAGGCTGTTAAGGATGATTAACTAAAAGTTTACAAATAGTAAATAGTATTACAGTAGTCTGAAAAAAAAAGTTTCATAAGTCTTTGAAAAATTTAGTATTTTTATATTAACTTTATTAATTTTAATATTACGCTTAGCACAGCACTTATTAAATCACTGTCACCATCAAGTTCAAAATATGTTCAAGATAGTTTTTATGCTTTTTAAGTTTACACGTGTAGCTGACATGTCCGTTTTTCAGGTAAAACTTGCACGATAGCGTTGCTGTTCGCCCAGTTGTATACCAAAGGTCAGTGCCATGGATTACATGCATTTCTAGTTCCTATCCGAGAGCCAAGAACCTTGATACCCTATCCGGGTATAACAGTGGGGGACATGGGCGAGAAAATAGGTTTGCACGGTATAGACAACGGGTACGCCACAAAAAAACACTTACGCCAGAAACATACTTTCGAGAATAGCTACTGATATCGTTTATATCACATGACTCAGCACTGGATATACCCATATACTTAATTACCTCTTTTAACATCAACAGGTTTGGCATTGATTCTTTTTTTATTTACTACAACTCTATACCCTGTTTCTGTATACCGTAATAATACCCCTAATCTTGGCTTATTCACTTTCAATTTTTGACTTCATCAGGTACTTTAACAAAAAATCTGCTTCCGTAAATTTGTAAGTATTGAACTTTAGGTTTTTCATTAAAAAAAAAAAATCCTATGATGTTTTTATACTGTAACATAGTTAGTTTTCTATTTTGTACAAAAGTATTTTGTTGTCCCCTTTTTGACAAGACAAGAACAGAAACGATCTCAGAGAATACATTTACATTGATGGTTTATATAATAGTACATAACAGGCTATATTCGACAAAAAATAACTGAATATTTATCATACAAAAAGTTTGCTAAAATTGTTGAAAGTAGCCAGAAATTCAATCTTCTCCTCATGGATTGACGAACTCTGTCAAAAATAGCATGGTCGTTTCCAATTGAGTTGAACCCAGCAATAATTCGAGTCGAAAAAATCTTCATATTGCCCTGTATTGATTTGAGATTGGTCATCCAAAGAAAAGTGGGTTTGGGAGACGAAAACTTAAAGGCATCTCGTTAATAATAAAATAGAAATTGGATGAAGATAGGCATGTAAATCTTAGACTTGCCTTAAAAATGGCCTTTTTGTTTATTACACTTATTTGTTATAACATTTCTCTTGTCTCTATTTTTGTTTTGTAATTCGTTTTTTTTTTAAATATTTTAATAATTTAAACCCAAAATAGAGCAATTTATATATTTTAAACGATAATTCTTAGGAAATATTTTTACATAACTTCCATTTTGGCATTAGATTTTTTATTTTTAGGTGTTGATTGTGTCTATATATTCCTAAGTATTTTATTTTATATGTCTACTTTATTGAATAGTGTTGATTGTTTATTGGTTGTATATCTAAAGTGAAAATTCGGTAAACCCCGTTTATTGTACGAAAATGGTATAAAAACCATTTCTTCTTTATTCACCGTAAATGATGATGATCTGTTTAAACCAGCTTAAGTGTTTGCTGAAGTCATTTTCCACTTTGATTTTAAAATTATCCCAAGAATCATCTTTCTATAAGAAAACTTTGGTCGTCCAGAAAATCAATAATTGTCCCTGACGTATTTACATGGTACAAATTATTTATGTAAAGAATGAATAATATTGATCGTTAAATGGATCCCGTTGACACCATAGGTAAGGTTTGATAAGAGTAATAATAATAATACTAAGAAAAATAATGTTTATTTGCACCGTAAATACAAACCAATAATAAAAAAATAAAAAAAATTCAATTAAACATTTAAAAAATTCACAGGTGTGGAACTTAAGGAGTAGAAAAAAATGAACCAATTTTTTGGAAATCAAGATCAAAATTTCCTAAAAAAACAAAGAGTAAAATCTTCACAAAATCAATAGATGCACACATAAAGTCATCTTAAGTATTTTTAGATCATCAGATCTTTAAAAGCTTTTCTGCCACTATCACTCTCACAGCTATCAAGTTTTTTAAATGTATTTATAGCAGCAATATAGGTTGTTTAACATTCAGAAACTTAATCCCAAACAAGAATTCCGGAAGACATATGTGATTAGCTTCTAGGTTTAGGTGAAAGGGTCAGAAAAGCTTGCAGGCATCTAAAACGCAAAAGCAAAAGTGTTTCACAGCCAGAACTTTTTCTTCCCATGCCTTGTTTTCCTTCTATTTTTCCCTCAAGTGTTAATTGAAGCTTCCGCATTAGATGCCTCAGGTAGGCTGTTTTCCGTATTTTCATGATTTTTTTGTTCTAGACGTCAATTTCGAAGCCATCCAATTTCCGACGTTCTTCACGCTTCACCGTCTATGTCTCACAGCCATGTAAGAGCAGGGACCGCACATACCACTTAACTGTTCTTGGTGTCGCCTCAAGTGGCAAACTTGGATTAGATAGCCCATTTCTCATCTTAAAAATACTGAAAGATCTCTAGAAACGACGTCGTTAAAACATCTGTTGATGATCTTTAGACGCTGCGACATATAAAACGGATATCTCCAGCACCAGTTCGTAAAGCGAAATACCGCCCGTATCGAAAGTGTGTTCCTGGCTTTAACTTCAGTTCTTAATCACCAATACGAATTGTCGATTCTTTGCTGCAGGTTCGTTCTGTTCAAGGATTATCGAATACCGAGGGAAAACCTGCTGAACCGCACTGCAGATGTAACCCCTAGCGGGGAATACGAAAGCAGCTTCTCGGACCCTGGGCGGATTCTGGGAGCTGCTCTAGAAAACTTGTCAACTGCCCGAGTCGGAATTATGCAGGAGAGCTCGAACAATATCATATGCGCGGTAACTATAGCAGTAAGGTATGGCGCAATCAGAAAGCAGTTCGCCCCTAATGGTGACGGAGGCGGTAACAACGAAGAGCTGCCAATAATAGAGTATCAATTGCATGTAAGTTTTTCTATTCGCCTTCCGTTGACATCATGTGGTGTAATAAGTGCCTGACGAGTTGACTAATTTTACAACGGGCGTCCGACTAAAAGAGACTAAAAGAGAGTTGTGATGACAATATACGAGGTGGTGACTTAAGTTTTTTCAAAAAGTATTTAATTTTTTATCAAAATTAATTTTGTGTCCTTCAAAGTAATCCCCCCAGATATAATACACTTGTGCCAACGTTTTTTCCAATCCTCGACGCACTGGTATAGCCTTGCTTCCTCCTTCATTTCATGGGTTTCTTGAGTTTTGGGAACAAGAAAAATTTGCAGGGGTCATATTCGGTGAATATGGTGGCTGAGGCATAATTGTGGTTTAGTTTTGGGCCAAAAAGCAACGATGAGTGAGCAGGTGCGTTTTTTCCCACACTGTTGGACATTTTCTTCGCAAACGGCTCATAACTTCAAAGTGATACTTTTTATTGACCGTACGACCTTATGGTAAGAACTCTTGATGTACTACTCCACGATAATCAAAGAAAATAGTAAGCAAAACATTGACATTTTATCGAACTTGACGTGCTTTTTTCGGTATTGCCAATTCTGGGTTCTTCCATTGGGACGACTGGGCTTTGGTTTCGACGTCATAACCATATACCCATGATTCGTCATTAGTTGTGACCTTTTTGAGCATATTCCTTGTTACTTTTTTTTGACAGCAGAAAACACGTTTAACGCTTCTGTTTCACAAAAAAAAAGTAAAAGTGCAAATTAGCTTAATCTGTGAACATATGTTATGGACATGTGTACAAACATAACAAAAAAAAATGGAACGAATGTACTGAGCCCGTCCAATTACAAAAGTCACATTTTCAACACAACTCATATGCATTTAGGCAAGTGACGAGTGCAGTAAGGGGCGTTGCCTAAATATGAATAGTTGCTATGTAAGGTGGCAGAAATTAATTTCCGAGAGGAGCAATGAATCTTATTTGAAAAAACTAAAGTAATCAATTCTTCTACCAGAGAAAAATCCGAGAAACCATAGAAATATATAAGCAACCAAACAACCTTAGCCGCGACTCAGGACTTTACCCTTCACCAACATGGGAACCAGTTATACGAGACAATGTCAACAATATATAAGCAGGTACAGAATAGAATGCGAGCCACTTTTAGTTAAGCTTTGAAGAAGCCAACAAGATGATTGGCGAAACGTCATCAGATTTGATTTATAAACAACCGGCTTCACCTTCACCCTTAAATTTTATAAAGACGGTACCAAAGTTTTAATTTTACAAATGTTTATGGACAAGTTTGGAAAATCGATTCGCGGTAACTGTATTTTTTTTAAATGGCCACAAATTTTGTTTTTAATGTTTTATTGAATTGCGTTGTGAACGAGGTGTAAGCAACATTGCATTATTTTTTTTTTACAAAACTTCTGGATTCCTCCTGCGTCGGTTTTTATTTAGTCGAAATTGCTGACGTTTCGCCAATCATCCTGAGCTTGACTGAAACTGTTTCAAGCTCTAAAGAAGCCAACATGATGATTGGCGAAACGTCAGCGATTTCGACTAAGCAAAATCCGACGCAGGAGGAATCCAGAAGTTTTGTAAAAAGCATTACAGTAGCCTGAAAAACTAACATTGCATTATCTTCAAAAGTGTGACAAATTTCTTTAATTTAACTATTTAAAATGTAATTATAAAATTTATAATATTGTTATATTATAATTGTTTCTTCAATAATACAAGCGTTTCCTCAATCACTTAATATTTATTGAATTTTTCTTTTCTATAAATGGACTGTATCTCACTTTGCGGCGACGTCGCGACTCATGCCGTGAACGTCTACCCCGTAACGCTACAAAATTGTTACTAGCCTAGCAGAAACGTAGACCTTGTCGGTTTGGCGTACAACGCCCTGTTGTCACATTGACTGAAATGTCCGGCATGTTTAAGATACACAAAATTAAAAAGAAATTTACATAATTTTGAACTCAACATACCCCCAGCCTTGAAAGAACCCTCTTTCAAAAAAAAAAAACAACAAAACAAACATTTCTTGAAAATCAATTTGTCTTAGACAACCTTTGAAACCACTTGAACTGAGTTTTTTTCTCACCCACTTTCGTGAAACAATGGACACAATTTTGCGAATGAACGTTTGATGACACCTTCACTCGTTTTTACATCAGCCACCCGACTAATGTTGTCCTTTCCTGGGTATAGCTGAACGATGCGTCCCATTTTCCAACACAAGGGAGGCACATTTTCTTCTTTCACGAGCACCAATGTCCCTTCCTGCAGAGTGTCCCCGCCAGCCTTCCATTTGACGCGCCTCTGAAGTTCAGCGATGTATTATTCCAGTGACCAACGAGACCAAAAACCTTGTTGGTATTGTTGAATACGTTGATAGCTAGCAAGCCTATTTTCAGGTTGCTCGAGCAATCGTGGGTCCGGTAATGAGGTTGCCCTTCTTCCGATCAGGAAATGGGATGGGGTTAAAACGTCCAAGTCAGAAGGATCAGAGGACATTGGAGTGAGAGGACGTGAGTTTAATTTGACACAACAAAGTATAAAAATCCTCATAAGTCAAATTTGCCTTGCCCACAGCTCTTTTGAAATGGTATTTTACACTTTTTACCCCTGACTCCCATAAATCCCCGAAATGAGGCGAATATGCCGGAATAAAAGACCAATTAACACCTTCTGTCGCAATCAATGTCTTTAAACTGACATGATTATTACGCAAAAATTTTCCCAACTCTCTCAGTTCTGTCTGAGCACCCACAAAATTTTTACCATTGTCGGAAAACATTTTTTCTGGTTTGCCCCTCCTAGACAGACCTTGTTACAGCCTCTAAATGTATTGCACGTGTGCAAAAACAGATAAATAAACAAACATACCCCTTGTACAAACGCGTGCCCCATCCCAAAGCTATTTTAAAATTGAACGGCCCTGTATAATCAACCCCTGTGGTATTGAATGGAAATTGTGGGATCACTCGTGACTTATGTAGGTTTCCCATCTGTATTTCAAAGGACCTAGGTTGAACCTTCGAACACACAACACATTCATGCACCATCTTTCTCACAACATTTCTGCCCTTTAGTGGCCAATAAATTTCCCTTAATGAACTGAGCACTAATTGAGGGCCTGCATGCAGTAGTCTCAAATGCTCTGCCTTAACAATCAATTTTGTACATGGATGGTTTGGGTCTAACACAATTGGGAATTTTTTGTCATATTTAAATTCTGTAAGCGCTAGTCTTCCGCCTACTCTGATTAATCCGTCGGCGTCTAGAAACGGATTTAAATTTGACAACCAACCCTTTTTTTTCTTCTCACCGGTCTCCAAGATTTTCTGCTCATTTTCGAAACATTCATCTTGTGAGAACTTTATTAACATTTTTTCAGACTCTTGGAATTCCTTCACTGTCAAATTCTTTGATTCGTGACTATCCAATTTTCTGCAACGTGCCGTAAACCTTAAGCAATATGCAAATACACGTTTCAATTTTGTCCAACTGGAATATCTGGAAAAAATCTCTAGACTATTCTTCTCTGTATTCAAAAAGGCTTTTACTCGCTTCCTCCTTTCTGGAAGTTCCTCTAAAGGTACATTAACACCCTGATTTGGAAAGAAATCCTGTGACAACCATTGTGGACCTTCAAACCACAATTTATTTCCACACAACTTGGAAGGAAAAAGTCCCCGGGATACTAAGTCTGCGGGGTTTTCTTCTGACCGCACATAATGCCAATTGTCTTGATCCGTCATAGACTGAATTTGAGATACTCTATTTGCGACAAAAGCTTGGAATTGATTTGCTGGTGATTTTATCCAACTTAATGTTACTGTAGAATCGCTCCACAAAAACAGTTTCCTGAAATTTAACGTCATGGAAGTTTGTACTTCTTTTATAAATCTTGAAAGTAATAATGCACCTGACAATTCCAATTTCCTCTCCAAAGAGTAAAATCTCCTCAATGCCATCTCTCGAGAATCTCCCAACTTTTCAATACTCATTTTCAATGGGATTGCAACAACAAATCGACCATCCTGATTACGTCTTGTTGTTGACATAAACAAATTTTCACAATGAACTTCATCCCGTGTCATTCCCTCGATTTGACCTCCACCTGGCTTTTCTAGTTCCCAAAACTTGGCCAGTTGGTCTTGTACCTCTGTACCGATACTTAGGTTGCACACCTTTTTCTTAGGTTTGACTAGAGATCCTTGTCCACTGATGTAGCCCGCTACTACCCATCCTAACCAAGTGTTTTGTAAGACAGGTTTGTTTTCCCCTAATTCGATTCTTCCTACTCTTATGAGTTTCCAGAACATACCTGCACCAATTAACATATCCACTTCATCAGGCAAATGAAATTCACTGTTTGCTAGACAAATATTTCCTGGAATGTTTATTGGCCCTATAAATCTGTTTCCGAACATATTACCTCAATTTCACTTTGATATTGTTCAAAAATATCTAAAAGCTCGATTATTTTCTCTGTTCTAAATTGCAATTGCATAAACACTTCTTTTTCTGAAGATGCGCTTTCAGTTTGCACATTGAAATTTGTTAAATACCTTTTAAATTGAGATAAGCTCGCTTTTACACTAGCTCGCTTTCTAATTAATTGGTTTAATTGCTCAGCCATTTTGCTGATTTTTGACGCACAAAATAGAGACCACAAACTACAAACTCCAACAAAGGTTTGAAAAGGATCGACTTACAGGTTAACGGCGACTTTTTTTCTAAGTCCTGCCCTTACTGTCTCGTCCTCCGTCGCGTCGTAGCAACGCTGCGTGATCGTACGGCCCGCACGTGCAATTTCCAACGCCGCGCCGCGCTCGCCAATAAACTCCACGGCACCCCAACGACGACCTTCAAACAATGCTTTGTGCACCGCGCCGCTCCGCCTTGTCTCAGCTGCGCTTTTTTGCTTGCCGGCGTTCGTTTACAGACACGTAAACGTTTCCCTCACAATTTTCACACAATTTTCTTTGCAAATACAGACGATCCAACAATCTGTACTTCGCAATTTGCTCGTTTTTCACTTTTGCGGAACACTCGATAATTCTCGCAATTGAAAACTCTCCACTCGATGGATCACAATCCCGTTCGATGGACCACTATGTTTCTTCAATAATACAAGCGTTTCCTCGATCACTTAATATTTATTGAATTTTTCTTTTCTATCTCACTTTGCGGCGACGTCGCGACTCATGCCGTGAACGTCTACCCCGTAACGCTACAAAATTGTTACTAGCCTAGCAGAAACGTAGACCTTGTCGGTTTGGCGTACAACGCCCTGTTGTCACATTGACTGAAATGTCCGGCATGTTTAAGATACACAAAATTAAAAAGAAATTTACATAATTTTGAACTCAACAATAATCTTACGCGCCCCTCTCGGGAACCATTAATTTTATGTATTCCTTATGCGCAGTGTTACCAACGACAGGACAGTAATTGTATTTACACGTATTTTTGGAGTACTGACAAGCACACCGCTCTCACTAAGTTGATAGAGTGTTTTTGTTTAGTAAAGTCTGTTCATAGATATAAGAAAGTGACTAACTGATACGAATTAAGGAAAGACCCGGGCAAGCTGTGAGAATGAAATATGGCCGAACAGGTCCGTACTTTGCTTAGAATTTAATTATTTGGAGTTTTGTTAGGAAAGATACTAAACAATATTTGTTTATTTATGTATATATTTATGTTTAAATCTAAAATAAAATTACAAATTATTTTTATTACCTACTTAAATTACTTAAAATTATTCACATAATGTATTAGTGTCACTATCATTATCATCGCCTGTTCTAATTATTATCTGTTCTATATTATTTGCAATATGGATATACTATTTTCTCTGCTTTTTCTATATGTTCAACAGAATTTGCCCAACTTTGTGGAGGGAAACCTTAAAACTGTATGCCCTAGATTTTTTGCATAATTATCACAGACTTATTCCTTTTGTAGGTTCAAGCTTTGTAGAACCTCAGTTAATTGCTTTTGGTATAATCTCCGTGAAAATAAATATCATTATTATACATGTAGTTTTGGATTGTTGCTGTGTCACATGAGGAAGGGGTTTTAGTCAACTGTCTACTGTGATAACTTGCATTGTCCATTACAATTACGCTATTAGGAGGAATGTTTGGAACTAGTTTGTTTTTAAACCAACTTTCAAATAAATCAGCGGCGGTGTCTTCATGGTAATTCAGAGAAGAATCTTTAATATTTTTCGCGGACAGAGAAAGTCCATTTGGAATCCATCCATCTTTAGAGCCAGCATGCAAAATAGTTATTCTTTTACCTCTTTTTGATGGCGCGTTTGTTTTACACTTATCAGTTGTGTTGAATACACTTCCATAAGGTAGTTCTGCTACATTTAACACCGGTTTCATCTTTTTCAAGCCTCCTAATTAAGATATCTATTGTAGGCACACTTCGTTCCTCGTATAACTGGTAAATTTTACTCCGTATTATATCTTGATCACTTTCGTCCACACTCGGGAAAATGTCAGCATCACTTCTTTTTTTCCTCCTGGAATGGGATTATTCACAATTTTCCACACAGTTGATGTTGGAATTTTCGTCAATGTGGCCGGTTCTTCTAAAGATGCTTGCTTGCTGGCACCACGTTCAATGAGGGTCAAATAAACATTGTTTATAACTTCCTTAGTCTGAATAGAATAGTGTTTTCTACATTTGGGCGGGAGCATCTCCTGAGATACACTCGCACATATTTTGCATAATTCGCACACGATTCAACACATGCTGTATTACACACGAAATAAGAATGATTACTAATAAACTTAAACTAAGTAGTATACCAAACCAAAGAATATTAACACAGGTAGAATATAACACAGGTAGGTATAAAATTATTTTCTATTAGGGACCACCATTTTACCTGAATTTAAATTCCGAAACTTTAGGTAATAATCTTGTTGCATTGTATGTTAATGACCACCCTTGGATCCCATTCAAAAGCAATTGGTCACTTTCTTATATTTATAAACAGACCATACCTCTCTCTTAATAGAGGCCAAGGTCACAATTTCGAAGGCATTGATAGAGACAAATGGACAGCACCATCTCTCTATTCTTGAATGAATATTTTGATATTCTTTTTCAATGACGAGGTGTAAGGATCCAAAGTTGTCAGTGAGTCACCGATTTCTAGTTGATTTGTTTTAGCTTATCATTCTTATTCTGAACCTAATAATACAAAAAAATAATTTAAAATGTCAGGTAAATTTGCGCCAGGTATATAAATAATACGTGAAAAGCATATAATGTATAAGAGTTGCCAAGGGTGTGAGAAATATTATCTAGGTAAATGCGTATCAAAGGTACTGTCAAATCCGTTGCGGGATTAAATCTTGTAAAAACCGTAATACCTAAATCTCCCCAAATGTCTAGAATTTTTGTCAAAACTCTGTTCAGAACTAGCGATTTCAATTTGAAAATAATTTTCTCAAAAAACTTGCTATATTCGAAGCTAAAAATGATCGATCCAACAAGCAACCGTTCTCTTTAGTTTTATATTGACGACGAATGGCGTTTACTTTCAAAATTCGCTTTTAAAGAAAAAAAATGCATCAACGATAACATTGATAAATTATTTTGGATTAAGGATTTGATTTTTAATCTAAAGGAACGTCAAATTGATATATTTTCAGGAATGTTGCTCAACTTGTGCCCAATATTCTATCTTTGCCACATTTAAACGCTCAATGCGAGAGAGTATTTTCTCACGTGTACTTAATTAAAATGCAGCGAAAAATTGTTTAATCACCATTAACGGAAGGTTACGAGCAGCACAAGAAATAAAAAAAAACAATCTGGATCTTGTGTTATTTTCAAACCAAGCCAGACTATGCTGAAAAGCGTCATATATAAAAATTACTATCTCGCATTTATAGTGCTGAATAAATTCGGTAATTTTAAATTTCTGCTGATTTGAGTTACTTTTATGTTTGTTATGTTTCATTTAAATAAATCTGTTAAAAAAGGATTTTTTTAAATTTTATGAGTAGAATCGCGACATTACAATGTACTTCTTTTTATTGAAATTCTCCATTAAATTAATTTCTACATCATCGCGAGTGCTCTCTTTTAGGTTACAAGTACCCTTTCAAGAATTTCAAATACAGCTGCCAGCTGTTTACGTAATGAGTGCAGTACTATTTTTAAAGCAATGTTCCAATTACATTTTGGTAATCTGTGGGTGACACTGCCGAATTTTTGGAGTGTGAGCTTCTACTTTTTCTGTTGTATGGTTGGGAACCCAGCTTATGCGGTCTCTTTTAGGTCGACGTCCGTGGTTTTATGCTGAATCAAATTCAGATCTTTTTGTTTGATTTGTGAAAAACATTATCGATAGTTTGTTTAAATTGCCACTAGATGGCGTTTTCTGACACAAAAAATATATTCCTAAAAAAAAACAAACCAAACAAATTGATTTACAAGGTGTTATTTATATTTTCTTAGTTTAAAAAACCAAATTGTAAAGCAAGAATTTTTTAGCGATGGCGACTTTTCCCTCACATGGCCGCCGCGGCTGTGTTAAAAGTCTTCGTAAATACGTTTACTGATTTGTATTTATCGGCCGTCGAATTGTCCACCACATCGAAGGAGCTAAAAGATTTAGTAAGTCAGTCCGTTCTGTTCCAGCTCCGGTTTATCAGAAGCTTTTATAAAATACGTACTTGATATTAGATATTCATTATGGTCTGCACAGAACGAAATCACAAGAAATGAATGTATATAATTCATTACACCGCTTTTAAACTAGCGATATTGCAATATAATTTTACATTTCTTGGATAAGAAGATTAAACCAACTAACAATAGTTAAATAGGTATAGGCGAAATAAATAAAATATAACACAAACCAAATTACACGCAGCGAATAACCTTAACAAATTTTTCCAAGGCAGTTGACAGGTACCCACAATAACTTCGCACATGCGCATAAAAAACGTCGACGCTCTATGGGTACGTTTTTCTCTCTCTTAGGTTAGGTTAATGGTTGAAGAATTGGAATTTAATTCTTTAGGTAGAGCTTTGTAGTAATAGCTTTACGTAGCTTTGTAAAGTAAAAGTTTTATGCCATCATGATACGTTTGAGTTTTCAAAAAACAATCCTCTGATCATTTGTTGCTTTTTTCATCTCTCATCCATGTTAGTAGCATATTTGCGATGTGTTCATTCGTCCGCTCTACACTTCACATTAGTCTACTCCCTATGCTCCATATACCTCACAATCCTCGATAATACAATAGAAAATATTTTACTGGGTGTTAATAGTTAATTGTACTAGTTTTCCAATATAGAAGTCACCCCTGATTAAAAATAAACGTTAAGTAGCAAAAAAACTATACTTACCTACTACACTTACCGTTATCCGATTGCAAAATAGACGGAGCACCCGTATCCAGTAAATGATTTGCCACTTTTGCCCTACGATTTTTTTTTTCCAAATGGTCTTGATGGGACCATGATAAAGTTATATACCATTTTGGTTGAACTGCATGTCTATTATATCCGCTAGTGTTTATTTCTGAAAATAACACAATTCCTTTATTATTTGCTTTTTTTTATAAATAAATAAACCTGGTTTATTTTATTAGTTTAGTTTTTTCCTTGTCCAATTACCAAATTACCAGTTTAGCAGCTTAGCAGTAGTATTATATCTTGTATTTGCTCCGAAATCAGCCACCATAGGCCTTCTAATACCGCCAATTACAGAAAAAGGTTCAATTACTCTTGCAAATTTTACAGAATCTACTATACTACGTTGGGTAGAATTCAAAAGCAACAATAAACTTTACATTGCACGTTCTTTCCTGTTGGATAATTCTAAGATTATCCGGGTAATTCTACTATTATTCAATATTCAAGATTTAGCTATAAGGCGACTCGAGAGAGCTGAGCTGTTTTTGCCTTGCGTGGGCTGAGTTCATGTTTCTCCAGAAAGTCCTTAGAACTACATATTTATTATGCCCTGGTTCACCCGACATTCCCAAAGAAGGACGTAGTACCAGATAGACTGTTTGTTTTGTATTTTCTTTTGACAACTTTTCGTAAATTTAAATTTTTTGTTTCACTTAATTTTAATTTAAACGGTTTTTCTTAGGGAATTGGAGGTGAAATGATGAGTTGTGCAGTCCAGATTTATCGATTAAAACACCACCAATCTGCAGCATTGGCTGCTAGGGTCTTGAGCTGCCAATCTCTATTTCCCAATTATGTCCCTCGTCTATTGTCTATATATTGTTAAATATGTTTTAAATACACCACTGTGTGTTTAATCTGCTCCTTTTTTATGTTATTTTATGTTGATGCCTTTGTAAACCATTCACTGATAATGTGAACGACAGTCAAATTTACTTCACATATGTCAGACCGTTCACCGCTAAGAAGACGTTTGTGGCTAAGGCTTGTCTGTCCAGTAAACACTCTAAAAGATCGTACTGCTTCCGATCTGGGTAATTCTGTGGATTCATGTTTTGCTGTTACTTCTGATATTGTTTTTCGAAGCAAGGCATTCCAGATATTTTGACAGTCCTGACGGATTTGTCCTTAACCAATTGTCTTAACTGTTTTCTTCTTGTCACCAGGTTGTCTGCATTTACGATCTCATTGTCATCTATCAGTTCCCTTGGTAGGTTAACCTCAATTTTTTGGAGAGACCTTAGTGCTTCTCAATGTAATTCTTCCTTTATCTTATTAACTACGGCGTATTCACTTGTTTGTAAACGTTTATGCATATTAGCATCAATAAATCACTATTATTATTATTAGCATTCCATATAAGTGTTTTTTTTTTCGATGTATAGAACTTTAAGTTGCAATAAAACAACAATGGATTATTCGATTGACATGAATTTTATTTATCCGAAAGATAATCTTGGAGCATTACATTTTAAATATGATTTCTGGCATATGACCGCCACGGCTGGCGCGGATGTAGTCCCATCTGGACGTCCAATTTTCGATGACTTTCCAACATTTGTGGCCGTAATATCGGCAATAACACGGCGAATGTTGTCTTCCGTTTATCCGCATAGACCAATGACTTTACATAGCCCCACAGAAAGTAGCGGTGTTAAATCACAAGATCTTGGAGGCCAATTCACAGGTCCAAAACGTGAAATTAGGCGGTCACCTAAAACCACGCTAAACAAAATTCGCTTATGGAAATCGGGAACAACGGCAATCTCGTTTTGGGCCCATTCGAAGAATCTACGCCTTACTTGATTATCGTTTGGCTTCAATTCTTGCACGAGTTGGATTTTGTAAGCACCAAGATCCTTCCGCAAAATCTTCCATAAAGTGGATGGACACAGACCAATTCCTGTGCTCGATGGCGGATGGACTCATTCGGGTCTTCCTTAATGCTAGCCTCTACAGCAGCAATAGCTTCTTCTCTACGCACCGTACGGCGTCTCTGGGGATGCGAGTTATCAATAAGAGTAAACGTGGTGCGAAAACATTCCATGGTTAATCGAATTAACTGCTCTGATGGACGATTTTGTCGACGATAAAATGGACGTAGTGCGCGATACTTCTTCCGCACAGAACCATTATTTTCAAAATAAAATTGCACTCTTGCAAGCGTTTTTCAGGCGTGAGTCTATTCATGATGAATTGCCAAACCAAACTGAGAATAAATCACTTAACAGCTGTTAAATCGGTCGCCATCTTGAACAGAAATGCCAACTTAAAGTTCAATACATCGAAAAAAAACACCCATTATAACTCAAGTTACTCTACCACTATGAAACAAAAACTTCTTTAACCAAAACTTTTTCCTCATCTCTGGTTTCTTAGAGCGATATGGTATCCGAGATACACGCAATTGTATCGTGCGCCAAACCTCTAGTCACGTGGTCGTGCAGAGATGCGGTACAAGAGTGTCGCGAGGCGTGCGGCGGTCATGGTTTCCTGAAGTCTGCGCGACTAGGCGACCTCCGTGCCACCATCGACCCGTGCGTCACCTACGAAGGCGACAACAACGTCCTCGTCCAACAAACCAGTAACTGGCTGCTGAGGCAGTGGCAGGGTCTTCGTTTAGGTGCAAGTCTGACCTCACCCCTAGGCAGCTGCCGTTTTCTTCAGGATCACGAGAGGATCGAAGGGTATAACTTTACGGCGAGAAGCCCCGATGAGTTGCTGACCTCAACATGTAAGTAGATGCTCAAAACTTAAATGTGGACATGCGCTTACTGTTTTTTTGAATAACCACAGACACCGAGTCCACTTAATTGTCAACAACCCACTGGAATTACACTTAATTAAGATCGATTTACTAAATTAGGTTTCTTTTAATTAACTTTTGTCGTGGGACATCCCGCACGCAAACCGATAAGGCATCAGTTAAGATCCATTAAGCAATTGCCAAAAATAAATGATATAATAATGACTGATGTAAAATCTTACGTCAATATATTTTGTCACTTCTGGTATTTTATTACAAGAAGCTAGTTGCACTTAATTTTTCTATCTGTGAAAAATATTTATTAGTAAATTTAACACACACCTGCCAAATACACTAACTGAAAATTGTGTTAGTGTTATAAAAAAAAGAGTTTAATTACAAAAGTTGTTTTTAGTAAAGTGATCTTGAATTTTTATTATTTCAATTGTCACTCAATTACCTACAGGGTGGTCAAATAAAGTTTTTTTTAATGTTATTACATTTTTAAATACCCCTCTAAATGCGGATTCGACAATATATGTAAATATTTATATACCGGCTCGAATGCACCGTTATTAGCATGCTTGATTTACAAAAATTGAGAGAAGTCATTTTGCGAAACATCGCAACACCGCGTATTTGATAAAAAATTTTCAATTTAGAATATCGTCTGAGAAAAAGTATTATTTTCTAAAATGTGTTGCGCAGAAAATCGTTTGAAAAGTTAATATGGAACGTAACAAAAACCTTTCCAATATCACCTGAATAGATATTCGCATTAGAGATCGATATACAGGGTCGTAAATGTCTTAACTTTTGAGGTAAAGTTTTCAAAAATAAAACATATTTTTTTAATATCTGCAATAGCACTATGATCAAGAGGCATTATTTAGTGTACCACTTGTGTACGGAATTTTATTTGTCTAGTTCTAGTTGGATATTGATAGTACGCTATTTCTCCTAAAATAAAAATTATTCCTACAATCTTCAATCATTTCTAAAAAAAATTAATTTCTTAATTTTTTTCTATCCGTTGTACAGTTTTTGCTTTAAAAAAAACTGTTCTCTAAGAGTCATAAGAATACCGTTATTATGACAGTATGCACAGAATTATTATCTTTATTATTTCTTATTTTTTAAATAAATTTTTAAATTCTCTTGATGAAAATCCTGAAATTGGAAATAATCTGAATATCTCGCACTTATTGGTTTAGAAAATTTTTGGACAAAATTGCGCATTATCCCTTGTTTGACCAGATGAAGCAAACTTTTCGCGAAATGCAATCAAAAATTTTCACAATAACCATGATGAACAGTTTTCGGTAAATTTTTGGACTGGAATTCTTGGAAATTATTTAATTGGACCTTTTCTCCTGGCAGAACGGCGAAATGACCATAATTAATCTCCGGTTTTTAGAAGAGGGTTTTCCAATATTGCTAGAAGAAGAACCATATTTAATTAGGAACAGAATGTGGTTCGTGCATGACGGGGCGCCTGCTCACAGAGAATATTTAAATCGCACAGTAAATAACCGCTAACAGTTAACACTGTAGAAGAGTTGAACGATCGTATAAGATCTTCCTACGATTTAATAATAAAACATTGGAGGTATAATTCGAGGAGTGGATCTAAATATGAGGAAAAAAACTGAAGCGTGTATCCTTCAAGTTTCTATGTTCTACTTTTTTTTGTTATTAATTTATTAACAGACAATTTTGTTTAAAATCATTCATAATATGTAACTTTTTTTTATTAAAATGTGTTTCTTGTTTATCTTGTCGTTAGGATGTTATGTTATTTCATTAAAACTGTAAAAGCAAAAAGAACAATCTTCTATTTTTTTTTCTGGCGGATACTAGTTGCTAGATAATTTTGTTTTAGATGGATATTTTATTTTTAACAAAAAAAGTTCTCTTAATTTGTTTTTAGTGGTTTGCACTTAAAAATAAAAACTAATTTCTCTGCGTGTTGTCAGAAGAATTTTTTATTTTTTAAGCGAAAACCGTACATCGAATTAAAAAAAGAAAAATAAAGAAACTAAATTTCTTTAGAAATTATTGGAGATTTTAAGAACAATTTTTATTTTAAGAGAAATCAGTCGCGCACCATCAATATCTGCCAAAATATACGACTAACATTTCGTACGCCTGCCACAGGTGTATTTAAAAAAAAATGTGGTACACTAGATAACTTCTTTTAATACGTAGTATGTGTGCCAAATTTCATTAAAATATCTAAAGTGATATTACCCTGTATCTCAAACTGAAGACGTTTCGCACATATATTCAAAAAAAATTTTATTTTTAAAATGGACCCAAAAATCGTCCCCTTAATTATTGACATTCAATTAGAAAACACCCTGTATATATCCTTGGATTCGTCTTTTAAAAGGCTATTTAAAAATGTAATAAAATACAGAGTGTTCCATTTAAAAATATCTAACTTTACTTTACCACCTGGTATGAATTGAAGCAATACAAAAAAATTAAAAACCATTTTACTGGAAACAACATTTTTTATAACCCTCATAGATTTAGAGATAAGGTATAGCACCCTCTTAAACCAGCTCCCTTGTACAGTAAAGTTCTCAACCTTAAATATTTATTAAATAATTTTCTACAAATAACAGAATCCGCATCTAAAAATAGTTTAGGTTAGTGTAACAATTCCTACCGGCTGACATATAACTTTAAGTCCCCGGTTTTAATAAAAGTTAATTATGTTTCCAAGAAAAGTAATTATCACGTAAACTTCAACAGGTTATTGAAAAAATATTTTTGATGTTTTGTCTCAAATTTCAAATTCATGCCCATTATCAACACTTTGACGGGACCACAAAACAACCAACAAGGGACTTTCAAATAATTTGTTACTAAAACTCTGTTACTTTATGTCCCCCTTTTAAAATAACTTGTTGACAGAAACTCTGCAAATGAATACCGAATTAAATTGTCATTTTAAACGCTTGTGATGGTCACTTAGTTAATGTTTTCGTGCTGTTTTGTGAACTTTGGGTACGAATATATTTAAAGAGCTCTGCGTAAACTTTAAGTCTCCGATTATTAATAGAAGTTGTTATTTCAAAGATTTCAAATGGTATTTATTACTTTCACAGGTCCACAAAACAACCAAACGGGGATTTTCAAAAGAGTGATTTTTATTATTATTATTATTTTTATTGGAGGCCTTGGGAATTATGAATTATGAAAATGCCCTCGTACACTTTTTTATATCGGAAAACTTTCAGTGGTTTTATTTGCTACTCTCACGGATGCTGTTTGGTTAAAGTGAGGTTCTTTACGAAATCAAGATCAAGCTTATCTACAGTTTTTCCTTGCAACAGCATAATTAGGTCTGAATGTTACACTTAAATTCCGGTAGTCTATAAAACATAGGTAGACAACTTTTCGCTTGTTTGAAGTCAAATTCTTTGACTGAAGAGTAGGTACTTCTCGTGTGCCAAATCCCTGCCTGAATCCAATTTCTTTTTCGCATCCACTGTAGATCCATCCATGAATTATTTTTATCAAAAGCTTTTAAACTTGGCTAATTAAGCTGATCATTCGCAATTATGAATATTTGGCTTTTTCGGTATAGCCAGAAAGATTGAATGCTGCCAATCTTGCGTTGTTATCATCGTCAAACAGCTATGTTGATTCTATCATCTGGTCCAGTTGCTTTTCTCTGCTTTCCTTGTTACTTTCGAAAATCGATTAAATCGAATTTTTCGAAAGTATTTACGTTTGTATAAAAATTTTATATCTCGGTAGCGATAGGTCCTATAGGATCGCTGTTGGTACAGAAATGATCACCGTCGAAAAAAAAATTTGTTTGTCTATTTGTCCGTTCTCCGTCCTCTGTTCTCGTCTTTTGGGTTTTCCTGAATAACTTTCGAACCGTTGGTGCTACAAAATTAAAATTTACCTCCTTTTGAATACTCCACGAGGCACATAAGCTTATAAGAAATGACCCTGATCCGACGCCGGTATCCGTCTTTTTTTCGCGATTTTCGACTGTTTTTTGTTGTGAAACAGGAATAAGTATCCGAAATTTGAAGCGATCGATTTCATATTTGGCACATATAAATTGCAGCTTTGCCTTGTGACGAAACTTATTGAAAATGGGGGGGCTGGGGGTCGAGAAGTACTCTAAAAAAATAAAAAATCGCTTGTGCAAGGTTCTACAAAAAACATCGTTTTTCAAAGACCGTTTACGAGAAAAAAAATCTTTGAATTTTTTAAAAATATACAGGGTGCGCCGCAAATTCAAAACACTGAAAAATGGGTCCCCCTATTATTGAAAACTGGTTATAACTGAAAGACTATGATTCTCACTTTCTTTTCTATAGCGATATAGCCCGCATAGACAGCAAAAACTTTTGTATCTAATTTGTATTATACAGGGTATTCCCGATATTCCGTGCTAAATGAGAAATGTGTTAAATGTCCTAAATTTGCAGATATCAACTTCAAATTTAGCAGAGAACTAAAAGGCGTGTCCACATTTTACCAAGTATTTTCCAAAAATGTTTGAAATTTTTTTTTGGTAATTTTATCTTCCAGAAAAATACGTTTTCCTCTATAATCGTTCACCCGATCGGCAAAAATCTTTAACGGGCAGACGCAGAAGATCCAGTGCAATATCATCTATTTTGGGCATTTTTTCGATTATATACAGGGTTTTCAAATTATAGGCAAAAATCTAAAAGAAGTACAAATTGTTCTTTTACGGAGTAAATTATTAGCCGCAAATGAAAAATCGTAAGAAATATGGCTAATTGGTTCAAACGGTGTCATAGACCGCATCAAGAGCTATATTTTTTGTTTTTTGCGGTTTTCGTCTATCACATAAGCCGCTCGGGATGTTTCAAAAAATTTCCATATTGCAATAGTCATTTCGGGGGCTGCCAAGATGCGATGACGTCATTGATTATTATGGCTCACTGCATGCTTTCAGAAAAAACTTATTTTCTCGAAAACCATGTAGTATTTTCAAAAAATTCTTGAACCAGGAAACGTGAAAGATCCAGAGCTAGAACCTCTACTTCGAACATTGTTTGAATCATATACAGGATGTGTCGCTTATGGGCAAAAAATCTAGAAGATCTTAAACATTTCCGATTTCCTGGGTAAATTATTGGTGATAAATGAAAAAAGGTTAAAGATGGGATAATTGCATTTGAACAATATCGTAAACTGTGTCGAGAGAGAGTTTCAGGTTTCGTCAATTATACAGGGCGCGAGATATTTGAAAAAATATCATTCGCCAACGCTATTATTTGTGCAAATTTTAATATTAACCGGTGTTTGCTGTAACTTTGAAGTTCGACGAGATGTAAGGGATATTTTATGCAGGGTGCATGCGCAATTAAATTACATCGATTTTGTGAAAGTTCCATAGTGGTCCTCAGGAGTACGATAGAAAAACATTGCGTCCCTTTACCACACAAAACCGCGAAGCTTTTTCCTTTTATAATAAAAAGCTGCTTCGTGGTAGGTGCTACGAACTAGCCCCACCCACCGACGATTTTTTGAAAGCAATCTTGTTACTTTCGAAAATCGGCGAAATCGAATTTTTCGAAAGTATCTATAACTTTTAGAACAGATTTCAAAATTCCGGATTCTGTGTGTTCACAAAAACTCTTTGGTTATTATCGCTAAACAAAAGTTTCCAATGATTTGGCGATTATTGTCGTCAACAATATTATTTGGCCTGTAGAATCTTGTAAAGCATGTAGTTTGTGTTTATTAAAGTGATCATGCTTTTCGTCTAGCTCCTCCATTTTTATACACCGTTGTTGCAGCCATTGCTATTTGGCCTTGCGTATCTCCTTTTTAATTTTTGGTATTTGTTCTTATATGAGCTGCGATGAGCCATAAGCGCGAGAATTTCATCAGTCATCATTTTTTTCTTTTTGTTGTTAAGTGGTCCATTGTTCACTAGTTAGCCATTTTATTTGGCTAAGTCCTAGTATATTTATCCTATAACGCTCCATTTCCTGTATTAGATTATCTAGTTTTTCTTGCAGCATACAAAGTTTTTACATTCCAAGTGCCAAACTTTAATTTTAAGAGTATTTCCACTCTCGCGTGAGTCCTAGCATAACTTATCGCGGGGATTCTTAGACCTATACTTCTACCGTGATGATGATCTTGTATATTATACCATTTTACTAACTAATTTAAATGTTTTTTTTGCGGTTTGAATCTATGAAATTAAAAATGTTCTATCCGGATTAAGACATCTTTCTGTTTTCACATTTATATCAAAATTAACTGTGCCGTGTGCAAACCTTTATCACTGATCATTGTCATGAACCACCGAAAGTTTTGCTGGCAAAGGACCAGAACACACAATTGAAACACAAATTTAAATATGTATATGTGAAAAATATCGAAATTTATAGTTATCCTCGAGTGCTATCAATGGCTTCTGCTGTATTTGGTCAAAGCGACGGATACGAAGCAAACCGAGGTAATGAAGAAGCAGGACAAGTTCACTGCCCGGAACGAATCCCAAGTGTACCGAGCGGCCATTTTGTCGAGAGCGTTCGGCGAGTATCTGGCCCTGAGAGACTATTGGCAGAAAGTGCGATCGGCCGACATTACGTTGGTGCCAATCTTGAACAATTTAGGAGCGTTGTATGGGTTAGCATGCCTGGACAGAAATCTCATCTACTTCTATCAGGTTAGTTTTGTCATTTTGAACTTATGGACGGAGTTGACCGTCTATCAAACGCAAAGCGGTGACAACGTGACTAAGAGATAGCGGCTATTCGCTGTGTTCGACAAGGACAAAATATTTTAACCACCATTTGCACGTTTTGCCTGGAATCTCAATGTTTACATGAACCCATTGATTAGCTAATTCTGCCTGTACAATCAACAATAAAGCATTATTACTGGCTCTGTTATCATTTTTATGGTATTTACAGTTTAACGCGAAAGCTGGAGTTTTGTAGAAGACGAAGCATTATAAAAAGAAAAACATGTACATGCGTATAAAAATGAAACTTAAAATTTTTATTGGATATGGAGACAAAACATGGACTCGGAAAGAAGTGTGTAATTTGATTAACGCAAAACCCCCAGAAAGACCCATTACAAGATCCAAAGTGAGTAAAATTAACTGAACCTTTATCGAAACAGGGCATGTCAAAGAAGTTACTTCATTAGGTGTTAAAAATGTCCGCCACTTACTTCTTGACAAGTGTATTAGTACATCAGGTACCAGAATTAGAGATGCATGGAAAATATTTAATTATGAGAGAAATCAGTCTAAAAATGAAGATCACTTTGGTGATATTTATGCAATTGAACTCGAATTTATTTTTTAATAGCATTGCTTCGTATATTTGGAAGTTTTTAACGGTCAGACCAGAGAAACAGAGGGAATGTCTGAGGAATATACCTTTTGTTTCAGCAACTTTCTTTCAACATGGGTTTGCTGGGGGCAATGTCTTGAGCTGTGTTGCAGATTGGTTCCTTTAATTATTATGATATTAACAGTATACTTCTTAAAGAGGTTATTGACACCCCGCACTTATCTTTTCAAAACATGCATCGAGGACGGAATTTTCAATGAATATTTTACAATATCCAAAGTTGTACCATATTCAAAAAGGGACAACCTAATTTAGCAAATAATTACAGACCAACTTCCAACAACTTCCCCTACAGAGAAAAATTTTTGACTCATTAATAAAAAACTAGTTTTTTTATATAACGATAATAGTACATGTAGTGCACAGTTCGGCTTTAGACCAGGATGCTCTACTATACAGGCAGTCTGCAGGATTAAGGAAGACGTTGTGATGGGCCTTGAGTGGGGGGACACAAGTGGGTCTTACTCTTTGTGATCTTAGCAAGGCTTCCGTTCTCCCCACTTGCTGCTGGAAAACTGGAATAAATATGGGATGCGGAGACTTCCATTAAACTTAATTAAGTTATGTCTATTATCTAGGAGACAATGTGTGGTCTATAGTAATGAAATGTCGAAACTGAGAAGCGTGAATAGTGGCGTACCCCACTGTCCTGGTTCTCTAACAACGCTCTTACATTAAATGCAGATAATACACAGCACCAACAAAAAATAGCTTGGTGATGAGTGCTAGTATGGAACTTTTGGGGATTATAATGATAGTGTGAGCTGGGCTCAGCATGTCAATCCGTTGTGTAAAACACGGTCACGGTTTATAATTCGTGAATTTAAAAAACTAGTCTGTATTATTCTCTCTTTCACTCACACCTAACTACATTGTCCAGTGCAGTAACTTTTCTGAAGCTGATCGGGTTTTTAAACTTTAAAAGAAGGTAGTTAGAATAATAGCATGTGCAGGCTGATGTGACTTTGGCTGGGAAAGATTCTGCGAGAATAGGAATCAAGTCATTTTGAAGAAATTGTAAATATCGGGCTCCAGCAAGATTTTAATCGAAGAAATAAGGTCCAATAATTTTGTTATTCAAAATCCCTGCAAAAACATTTATTTTTTGATATTGCTGTGTATGATTTTCTCTCATCCTTCGGGGATTATTTGTACTCCTATACTTACAATGTTTACTTCCCGTATATTTAAGCAAAACGTGACTTTATTTCTAAAAAGTATCTGAAGATGAAAAAATGGATTTAATTTTCACATTTTCATCATAGTGTCACAAAATTATAGTCTGGGGTCGGGATAATTTTCTTTCAGCTGTTGTAATTATTCGTAATCCTTTACGGTTACTTTTCTTCTTTTAATCCACAAAAAGCTTAGATTATCCTAAACTTCTAATAAAATGTGTAATCGTGTCTTTTCGTTAGTTTTTGAACGAACTGACCGTACCTTTTACATGCCCGGTTCTATGAATTTTCTCGCAATTTTACTCACCTTTGATCTTGTAATAGGTCTGAATCTAGTATTTTCTTAAATTAGGTAATATATGAAAATTCGCTGTTAAAAAACTATGGCAAACACACTTTAGTGAATGTAGTGTAAAGTATAGTTAAGTTTATAAAGTTTATCTTAAAAATATAATAGGCGAGTGTACCAAATCTTTAAATAATCTCCAACGACATTGCTAAAAGTAAATATAAAACCCAAAAAAAATCCAAACAGATTTTGATTTGATGTATCGATTTGAATCCCATGCTTTTCTTTTTCTTTGTAGTTCTCTGGACTTTCTGTAGGTGTTTTGGAAAATCAATAATACAGGGTAAAGCACATCTTTTAATAAAATCTGACCAAATTTATTCTCATAATCTGTAGGTTTAAAAAAATTGCAGCCGAAACCGAGAGTTATAAAATTTCCTTCTTAATGACAATCAGCCATGTCTTTCTCCAACGACTATCAACTGGGAGTCTTAAAATAATGAAATGTTTAAAGAGGTAAAAGCATAATAAACATAATAAAAGAGTATACCGCTTTCCTTATTCTATTTTTGTTTATTTAGTGTAAATTGATTTGAGTGCCACAAAACCGACAACTCATTTTCTACCGCACAAAAAATAAAAAGTTTAACTTTAAATGAGAGAGTAGAGGGAGCAGTATTCAAAAACGCGTTTTTAATTACGCATATGCTAAAATAGGTATTATTATTTTAACTGAAAAAACGCTAAAAAAAAAACACAAAAAACAAAGTATGCATATGTCCTAGCTAGATCAGTCCAAGCCACAATATGAATACAGTTTGCGTCGGGCAACCTAGCGCCTCAAAACAAATTTCGCCGCTCGGATTCAAATTTTACCTCAACATTTTTACTTTACCTAATTTTTATGTACATCAGTGAAATTTTGTATTCTTCTTCCTATAGTAAGTTCATCCACGGGTCTTGGAGGTTATCAACGGACCACATTTCCTTTATACTTTTTCTATGACATGTTGAACATAATAACTGCAATTTTGTTCAGTAATACGTTGAAATGTTTCATCTATTAACGAACGAGCATGACTCTGTATTCAAATCTCGCTGACATTCTCTCTAAACTGTTTGCAGAGGGCGGAGCTACAATAAGAGCATATTGATAAATGGTGAACACCTGAGTCACGGTCAGGATTTTCGTTGGGACAAGAATTTTAGTTTTATCGAACATAATTTTATGTCTGGTTTCGTGATTGTGATCTGCAACTGCTGATGAGTTTATTTGTCGTAGTCGATCTTGCAAGTTCTTTGAGCCTAGTTGATATTTTTCGTCCAGTTTATCCAATGTATTCCGCCGCATATGCATGGAATACTGTAAATTCCTGGTATTGGAATGTTGTCTTGGACGGATCAAAAATGTTGAGAGATTTTTGTACACGTAGCAAATCTGGTTTTGACGCTATATTTATTAAGAACTTTTGATATGTGGTCAGTGACGTTTTGAGTGTATTTTCTAATTGAACAAAAGCAGATGTAAAGTGTTTTAATCCTGGGTTCACTGTCTCGGGTTGAGATAGTTTTACGGCTCCGTAAACAAGCGAGTTGATAACCGATGATTTTTGAACCGGATCTTAACCGCGACTCAAGTTTTTACGTTTCACCAATATGGGAATCAGTCATTCGAGACAATTTTCATGCCCCTCCTTTAGCTCCGCTTAAACAAATATAAGCAGGTTCAGAGTAGAAAGCGGAGCCAGCATCAACATCCCAAACAATATAAAAATCTGAAAATCTAATCAGCTGATCCTCGCCATCTCTCTTGTGTCACCGCTATATACGTCTGTATATATACTCCATCCAATAGTTATCAGGTGTATGGAGCGGAAAATATTCAATGATTTCACGATGTTTCACTTTCAGGGTGGGTTTACGAACGGCCCAGAGTTCTCGCTGATGGTCAAAGACGCCATTTTACATCTATGTGATGTACTGAAGCCGGAATGCATGGGAATCATCGATGGTATGGCACCGCCGGACTTCGTTGTAAATTCAGTACTGGGGAAGTCGAACGGGCGGGTATGCTGTAACATTTGGGAGCTTGGTGATATGTTTGATGATGTGTTCCTTGCAGCTGTACGAGAATATCCAGGCGGAATTGATGCACAGTCCGGGCGCCATGTCGAGACCTGATTGGTGGCATGAGGTGGTAATAAAAGACGCACCCGATTTCGCCAAGTGCCTCAGCAAACTTTAACGCTTAGAGATATCCGGTTGGGGAGATAGCTTTTTATTGTTCTTTCATTTCAGTTTTATAGTTCGCATCCTAAACATATATATATGATGTAAACAAAATTATACATTTAAAGTATTTCGTGAAACCAAAGTCGTATTCCGTTTTCTATACCCGCTGACAGAAACTGTTATCCTTTAAAGCAGCTATTTTGTTTCTTCCATGGAGCAATCCCTTTACTCCACATTCCTTTTATAATTCATGTCATTAAAAACTGTACAACTTTTAATATCAGTAATAATTTTTACTTTTATAGCAATTCTTTTCTTATTTACTCTGCGCACAGAAAAAATCTCCGGTTTGATTGACCTTAAAGTACTTTAAAGTTATATTTCTTGATTTAAGTGTGTCTTGTCAAAGTTTTATATACTTTTAATATTTAACTTTACTTTTAAAGTGCCACTGATGACAATGGGGGCTACGCAGTAAGCACATCGACTTTAATGTCAATTTTGAAATTATTTCAATAAATATTAACTTTCAATATTGAAAAAAAAATTATATGCTGTAATGATCCGTGACTTAAGTTTGCGTTTGCATTTTCATTAATTTTACCAGATGAATTCTTACTCTTGAAGTCTGCCATATTGCAGAATCATGGCTGGACTTCAATACATCCTATTATACCAGGACAACCACCCATTTCCATAAATCTATACATGTAGAAATAAGTAATACTTTATTTGCAGTTGATTACAAACTTGCAATTACAAAACTTTATTATGTCGCCAAGAACTATCAGTTCTGTCACTTCTGATGCACGCTGATTAAAAAGTCTCAAAAAACTAAAATATTAAAAAATAATTGTTTCTTTTAGCGATTTCGGTTTTGTTCTTATTATTCACTCTTAGGGTTTTAAGAATAGCTGTTTTTCTTTCTCTGTGCCTTTTAGGTGAGATCCAATTTCCCCAAGTGACCATCAGTTGCCCAATTCTCTGGACACCCCATAAACATTTTTAAAGCTAGCTAGCTGAAAGTTTAAACTTCTATAAAGAAAATATTTTGTTTTTCTGCTATAAGGGAAAGTAAATATTTGACTCCTTAGTACCGAATATTTTTAGTATAAAAAAATATTTTATTTAACGCTCACCTTTCAATTTTATATTAAAGCAACAAACAAAACTAAGTTTAAGATTTGTTTTTGAAAAAAATATATTTAAGTTATGTTTCTTACTTCAAACGATTTTCTTTTTTTTAATTGGTGCGTACAAATGATTGAAATTAACAAAGTCACTTGACATCTTTTAATTTCTGGAAATGTTTTATTTCAATTATTGATTTAGAGTGTCTTCCGGCATACCAGTATTGACATCAAGTCGAAGAACTCAGGGCTGCAAATAGCTGAATGTTTCCAGTTTTTTGTTTGAAAATCATCAGTAAATCTTCAAAAGCAGTCCTTAATATTGGAGACCAATTTTGATTAGATTTGGTTTAGTTTTTGGTCGTTCGACCTGCAAGAACTAAATTCGATATAATAATAAATCCTTACTGTCTGAGTTAAAGCGCACCAGTGAAGAAGTACACTTTTTAGAACGTGCTGTGAATGGCAGTTTTTAATATCCTTTAAAAGAAAACAAGAATGAATGAATTTTACAGATATGCACGAATAAAAGTGTACGCCCTATAGGCGAAACAGCAAATGGAAAAAATGTCACAAAAATATAACAAAATCATGGATAATTTTATGTTAGATTAGTATTTTTGGTTTAGAAATTCGGACGTAAATATAATAATAGAACATTTGAACTAGTTTTGTAACCAAAGATATGTATGTCTTTAATCACAGAGTTTAATGCTAAAATGCAAAAATACGTTCATTTGCATTCATACCGCATTGTGTACTGTACAACTACGCGGTTGTTATTAACACTAAATTTAAGAATTGTAAAACAATACTGGGTTACAGCTATTATTTTTTTAATTCACACAGACCAATAACCAATTTCCAATCTTCTCCACCGGGGGAAAGTAAGATTAATTGACAAAATATTGTAATTTACAAAGTTTGTGGAAAATTTGATTTGAAATGTTTAACATCCATCTTCCTCCCATTGGCCGGACATATTTTTGCATGAAAACGATATACTTCAACTACTTCCCTAAAAAATAGCTCTTGATGCCGCGTTTTGCAGTGGCGGGCCAGCCTATTACGCTTTTGTGTAATCAAATTATGTATTTTCACACCTTGTAAAATATAAAAATTGTAAAAGTATTAAAATATATTTGTGTTACATATTTTGACATGAAACTGAAAAACTGTCAATTTGTAAAAATAAACTCTATGAAAATACCACGGTCATTTATTGTATGATAAAGAGGTATGCATACGTGTAACGAGTGATTTAAGTTTAAAACTAAAACCCCTAGTAGTATATTAAAGTCATACATTTGGATTGGATTATTAAAGCCATATTTCTTGAAAAATATAGATTGTCATAAAAAAATCGGAATGCTTTTAAGGAAGGCACTAGTCCTGAGGATGTGTGGTGTAAAGTTACAAAAGAAATTCTGCGAAATTTTGATAAACTAAAGAAAGCGGTGGGAGTACCTTTGAAGTTAGCAAAGGCCTTTGACACTATGGTACAACGAATCCTATTGAACAGACTTATAAAATGGGTATTAGGGGAATTGTGTATGATTGATTTAAATCCGCTTTCAGTGGCGAAACACAGTGTGTAAAGATATGCAATGTGTCTACTATTACACGAAAGTTGAGATTCAGGATGTCAAAAGGTACAGTATTGGGTCCATCATTATTTAGTATATACATAGATGATATATTATCACTATTCTCAATCACAATTTTTTGATTTGCAGATGATAGTGTATTGATAGTAAGTGATAGTACTTGGGAATGTCTATTAAAAAAGACTGAAATGATGGTAGCTAGGTTGAAGAATTGACTAGATTGCAGTTTGGCCTAACCCTCCCAAGAACTTGAATTGGAAGAATCATGTAGAATTACAACAAAAAAGTAAGAAAATGAATATTCAATTATACTCGTTCAATAATTTACAATGGTCTATCTCACCTACTACATACTGCATAACCTTTTTTGATACTTACTATTTTAAATAGATATAGGTAAACATATACAGATTCTAATGAATCCATTGCGCAGCGACAATGTGTTGTTGATAACATTTATATCCCAAATTGTAATTTTTGATGTTGTTGCTAAATAAATAAATAAAATAAAATACGTTATAACTTTATATAAAAAATTATATAAATGCACATAAGGTCAGACGCGAATATATGGAAATCACCCTTCACTGAACCCTTTGCCCGGGTACCGAGACTTGAAAATACCAATTTAGAGTCGTTTTCTTCGATACCGCATTGGCGGTTGTGAAACCATTTTCTTCTATTCCGCATCGGTGGCTTTTTATTAGCGCCACGGTCTCATTGTTTAGAGTACCGTCCATTGGTATATTGTACAATTCCTGAAAATCTATTAACGCTTTTCAAAGTTCCTTGATGGCTAACGTGTCGTTGTCGTCGTCTCTCTCTCTCTCTCTCTCTCTCTCCCTCTCTGTACCTCTTTCTCTCTCTCTTACTTCTATTGGCCAGAACTGCTATAATCACTCGGCCACTTACGAATATAGTTCAACATTTAATATATAACCTGGAGAGTGCCTTAATTAAAAACGACTGGACGGATCCATCACTCTCCGAGGGAAACGGAAACAACAATTGGAACACTATTCAAAAGTCTTGAACGGATTACAAAAAAAGGCCCCCCCCACTACCACCGCGGACCATCAGGGTCCATCCGACTACCATACCGGCGTGAACGGGGAAAAACGATGGGTCCGATTATAACTTTTACACATTCACTGAACGCTAAAAACACTAAGTGCACACAGTGGAAACCGATTTCAAAATTTTGGGGACTATTACAAGCGATTTTTTCGGGAGCGAACGGAGGTTAAACCGCCGCTTGCAATGCTCCACCACCTGTAGAAAGGATAGTGTAAGAAAAAGAAGAGAATGAAACACCACAACACTCACTTCTCAATCATGCACCTAATCACAGCATACCCGTACATGGAAACAAGACAACCGCTTAGATTACAGTTTTGCTTTCTTTTATTCATATTATAGCATTTGTTGAGTTCAAAATTATGTAAATTTCTTTTTAATTTTGTGTATCTTAAACATGCCGGACATTTCAGTCAATGTGACAACAGGGCGTTGTACGCCAAATTTTGTAGCATTGCGGGGTAGACGTTCACGGCATGAGTCGCGACGTCGCCGCAAAGTGAAATACAGTCCATTTATAGAAAAGAAAAATTCAATAAATATTAAGTGATTGAGGAAACGCTTGTATTATTGAAGAAACAGCATTAGCATGCTTTGTATTTACGTGTAAATTCATTATTCTTTTTTTTTTTTTCAATAAACCATGTTACGCAGATCAAAAAAAAACGACAAAGTTTTTGAAAAAAATTTATTACTTATTCGTCGGCCTCCACCGGTGTGGAACATGCAGTTCGGCATTTGCTTCTCCTCAAACTTTGAGGGGGGTATAGTTGCCGGGGTGGTGGTGGTGGTGGTGGTGGCGGCGGTCTGGCTGCCTCGGCGTCCGCCGTCATCGAATTTCTCCACGTTAATAATCATGGGCTTCCATAAGGACGAGTCCAGCCTCCTGGACAAAAAATCCACCTTTACTTGCCCCGCACGTATATCACGTCGGACTGCTCGCTGATTTTCGCGAGCACATATCGTCGATCGAGGTATAGTTCACGAAGCCGGAGCTGTATATCAGTCCATGATGTTTATCCTCGAGCAACTGTACCCCCCGCTTGTCGGCGTAGGACAGCCGTCCATACTCCTTCGGCGACTTGAATAGAAAATGGCAACTTCGCCACGAAGCCCTCGCCGTCTTGCAGCTGGATCCCTTGCATGCCCACCGTCACGAAACGCATGTTTAACCTTCTGCACAAAGCTTACCACATGAACTGCGCCGCTCGATCAAGTTTAACTCGTATTTATTACGACAACCGTCTGACAATTTCACTAAGCGGCGCACACCGTTACCGTGGCAAACGGTATGCGAGCCTTACAATGGCAATCGACTTTTAATACACATTCACATGAAAGCTGTGTTTTCTATCGAAACTATTCAAAAGGAAATTGCTTCAAAATTAAGCGATTTGATGATTGCGTTTTTAAACATTTGCAATCTTTACAAAAACTAAAAGGACCCACTGAGAATTGCTACACAATAATTTCTCTAATCACTTACAAATTAGACAAAACTACTGCTAGAGTGGGATACAAAATTAGTAACAAGGTTACTACTTGGAAAATTTTTAAAACATTTTGAATGGGTCCTGCTGACATGCTCGAAACAATTTAAGAAAAAAATTATGACAAATGTTAACAGAACGCGAACAAAAATTCCAAATTTAAAGATATGCAGGGTAGTACTCTTAATTTACAAATATGAAAATATCCTCAAAGTTTCGGTCAACGAAAAAACCGATTTTTTGAAAAAAGCTCGTTTATGCTCAAAAGCGGTCATTTCGATAAAACTTGCAACTTGCAGACGTTGTAATAGGCGGTACAATACACTGCTGCATGTTACCAGCGCGTTTGAAAATTCTGAAAATTTAAGTGGCGTCTCGTCAAACCAAAATAACGATTCTTCGACGAAGGAAAGTGGTTCTACCGAAGCAAATAAAGTTGTATTATCTTCTTCGTTGTTAGAAACAAGTGAAATTTTGCTTTTTACAGCCAGCGTAGAAATTTTTGATCAATTTCAAAATGTTCACATCATATGCTCTTTACTAGGTTGTGGTAGCCAATCGAGTTTTATTTCAGCTGATCTTGTAGACTGTCAACAACTAAACATATCTAAGACTTCTGTCACCATCTCAGGTCTAAATAATTCGACATCAAACATTCTACACAAATGTGATGTTTTTATTCGATCTACGAACCGAAACTTCAGTTCAAATCTTTTGCGCTTATCTCGTATCTGCTAACATCGCAAAGATGTATCGTCAAGTTCTAGTGAAACCTGAGAATAGATCCCTGCAAAGAATCTTGTGGAGAGAATCCCCGTAAGAGGAGCTAAAAACATACGAGCTAAACACAGTAATCTATGGTCAAGCTTCGGCTTCTTTCTTTGCTATTCGATGTTTATTCGAACTTGCAAATCAGTGAGAAAATGAATATCTTAAAATCTCTAAAATTATACGTTATGACTTCTATGTCGACGATTTGCTAACAGGATCTGACACTATTCAACATGCTTCACATATTTGTAGAAATTTAACGCAAATTCTAGAAGATGGTTGTTTCGAATTGCGCAAATGGTATTCCAAAGAACCTATTATCTTAAGAGATTTAGATAATTCCAACATTTCCAATAACCATTTAAATTTTGGCTCAAATCAAAAAGCAAAAACACTTTGTCTAATTTAGAATTATCTTTTAGACAAACTAATGTTCAAAATCAATGCATGCGATAGAAAAAATCCAGTTACGAAACGTGTTATGTGAGAATGTTGTAGAATTACTTTTAGCAAAAGTATAAAAAATTCTGTGTCGATATAAGCACGCACTCACG